TTAGTTTTGTAAAATATACTTGCAACGAATAGGCATAGTTGCAGTTTGCTTCTACTCGCTTTGTGCCAATTTTGAAACTATGTACTTCTGCGAAAACGGGACATGATTCTATATTGGGATAAAAAGACGGGACGGCAGAAATGGACCTGAAAAACGGGACTGTCCCGGCCAAAACGGGACGTCTGGTCACCCTAGCCCTGAGGGTCTGAAGATGAAGATGCTCAGGAGCATCTTCAACTTCCTTCATCAGTAAACAGAAGTCCGCCATTAGTGTAGCACATATGGCGTTTTCAGATGATGATGATAGTGATCAAAGTGGCCAGACTGAATTCCGGAAAGGGTCTATTGTAGTTTTAAAGGTGGCCATTAATAAAAGCCAACCCAATTGACACGGTTCCCGAAAAAGCAACAGGCTTTGAGATATTCATCTGTTAATTTTTCCTTTTTTTGCTTAACTCAAAACCACACGCTGAAAGGTGCACCTGATTATGATGCAAAAAAAAAAGTGACGCCCGTGTTTCATGCCCTTCGCCACTATCTCGACAGACAGCGTGTCTGCTGGAGGCGCCGGCGTCACACTTGCTGGATAGTGACGGACGTACAGAAGTGACAGGACGCTTTTCTACCAATCATAATCAGGCACCAAGCTCCACAAACATACAGTGAAGGCGGCATTAACATAGCTATCACCATTAAAAAATTTTTAAAGAATAAAAAATTAAAAAAACGCTCGTATAGACACAGCCTATCACAGTTGTGATTATATTCCTAGTAATAAACCGTTTCTTTTTTTTTTTTTTCATTAATGCTTGATATACCTTGAACTTGTTGCAAAACCAAATACCTGAGTGGAAGATGAGCCTGGCCCACCCTCTGGGACAGTTACAATGGGCAGGAGAGTGATTTTAGCCATGTCATGTATTTCGTCGTCCGCAGCAAGGTCAGTGTATTCTTCAAATACCAAATCCAGCATCTGTAAAATGTATGCGCATGGACTAGCTTCACATATATCTAACCCAAAAATATTTTTATATAGTTAGTAAATCAGCTCCAGAGGCACTTAGCTTCTTTTCAGTTCTCATATGTGCTGGCTCAAATCAGTCCTATTCAATGAAGAGTAAAGGCTATAGGCACGAGCTCGTGCACGTTGACCGGAAATGGCCATACGCACGACGTGGAGAGCTTACTGTAAATATTGTCAAATGCCCTACAAAAAAAAAGTAAAAAAAAAAGAGGTGTCTAGCGTTACGTCCAACGCTGTGGCTAGCGTTACGTCCAGACAGAGCACTGAAATGGATATGCCTAACCTTCTCCCCCACCCTCCTCTCTCGCCCCTGTGAACCTAGGGAAGGCGGCGATTTGGACGTACGGTGTGGCTAGCGTTCCAGACGGAACGATAGCTGCTACTAGAGTTCCGTCTGGAACGCGGAGCTAGAGCTCGTGCCATTTGGGTCACCCTTTTCCGACGGCGCGTGTATCATTGGGGGGCTCGTTAACACCCCCCCCCCCCCTCCCCTGCATTCACGCCGCTTCGCGGCGACAGTATGCGGCTGCTAATTACAAAACTAAGAGGGAGTTTTCGTAGACCATGTTTCGTTCACCGCTAAGCCCTCTGCAACGAAGAAGCCGCTACTGCGCCTGTGCGCCCATGCCCTTGACTGTAGAGTTCCGACATCATAGCAAGCTGCGTAGGGCATTGCGGGACGGCGAAAACGGTCTATGAAAACTCCCTATTAACCCACTTAGCCCTCCGTACACGCCGCCCAGCCAGCAACCCAAACCCGCTATGCCCTATTGCACCTCCGGCCATTTAGTTCAGCGAAGTTTCGTCGACAACATGCCTTCATGTCTTTCAGAGATAATTGTAAAAGAGAAATGTAAATACCGACAAAAAAAAATCGAGAAGAAAAAAAAAGAAGTAAACCCACACTGCGGTTCGAACCCGGGCCCGCTGCGTGTAAGGCAGACACCTTTCCACTACACTACACCACCACTTCAGAAAGGATAAAGCCTACGGACTCCGGAGTGCACTTCAAACGGAAATGGCTATACGCACTCCGCTAGTCTCATATAAAAGGAATAGTCACAACAACTCATTCTTTTAAGCGGTGGCATAGCGTAGTGGTTAAGGTGTCAGCTTCGTACGCTAGTGGACGTGGGTTCGATCCGCGGTGGTCCCACTTTCTTTTTGTTTCGTTTTCTCAAACATTTTGTTTTGTCGAAGCATTTGGCAATATTTACTTTTTTTTTTTTTTTTTTTTTTTTTTTTTTTTTTCCCCGGTGAACACTAAAAGATTCGTTGCCGACGAAACTTCGCAAAACTAAATGGTACGGGACTCCCTTTCCTGATGCGATCGGGGACAGCGGGGCTTGGGTTGCCGGCTGGACGCCGCGAAGCGGCGTGTACTGGTTACGTTTTGTAATTAGCAGCCTCACACTGTCGCCGCGAAGCGGGGGGAACGCAGGCGGGCTCCCCAGCGATACACGTGCCATTCGAAAAGGGTGACCCGAGCGGCATGAGCTCTCCGCAGAGTGCGTGTAGCCATTTCCGTCCGAAGCGCACTCCGGAGTGCGTATAGCTTTACTCCTTCAGAAACTAGCCTTCAACATTTGCTTTATACGAGACCCAACTTGGACGTTACTTTAGTGGCGACCATCGTTCCGCCTGGACGGAACTCTAGACACTTCCTTTTGGATTACAATGTCGCTTGCTCCCGTTGCTTTCATGCGGATTGCCTCGTCGCGCGAGTGACCGAGCGACAGCGAAGCGGGTTCACCGACGCTTGCCTCGTCACTCGCCAAATCGCTTTCATGCGGTCTATACTTTACTCTTCGCGCTAAAACGTCATTTCCTCATATAACATGTACCCTTTCCAAGATAGATTCGAAGATGACGGTGGTTTAGGCGGTTAAAATCTTATCACTTCGATATTTTTTTCTGGATTAGGTGGTTCACAGCTTCGCAGTTCGGTGTCTTCTCTATCCTTCGTTTACTTAGCTTACTGTGACCTGCTACAGTTCGAGCACGGGGAAAATGTCAACAGAAACGAGGCACTTGCCTGAAACCTGACAGAAGACAGTTTGATGGAGTTCCCAAGAACGGGGCACGTAGCCACCGCATGTTTCAAAGAGTTTACCGATCCATCCTCGAGCTTGAAAGACCTGGCAGCCTTTAGGTGAGGCACGGTGACCAGACACCGCACGGGCGGCATTGTCGAACGCTGCTAAAGCCACGCGAGCAGCTAGGCGCGAAAATACTGACATTCGTTTGGCTCGTCAACTCGGTAAACTCGCCAACCGTCATTCGTCACCACCGCAAGTAACGCGCCAAACAGAACAAAGGAACGATAAGTGGGTGAAGGCTGTGGGTGGATAGATGGCTGAACCGATGGTTAATGGTGTATATGTGGCAGCTTGCGCCACCTAGTGTAGCTTAAGCACACAATATATTCCGGAAAATACTTGAGGAACAAACCGCGCCAAAACTAAGAATTTAAACAAAAACACTTTACTATTCGTAAAGACAGGGGACGGGAGAACACCATCTTTCAATTTTCAACAAACAAATGATTTATTGCCGGACGCTTCTCCTTCGGAGTTCCACTACAGGAGAGGGAAAGTTAAAAGGAGGGGGAAGGGGAAGGGGGCGGACAAGACAAGGCCCCGGGAGAAAACTCGGGGAAAGTAAAGCGCAGAGACAGCGGGAAGGAGGGGGAGGAAGGAGGCATCCCGATTTCCCTCTCAGGAGTAGGGACCACTCGCCCGGCCCGCCAAGGACGGCAACTCCGGTCTAAGGAATGTCACCTCTCTCTCCGACAGCGACAGCGAGGCCGAGGAAATGTTCTTCGGCGCCTCTTTTATGGGGTACGCCTCCACGATCTCGCGCCCGTAGCGGTTCTTGTTGGCCCCCAGAACACGCGCGGACGGGAACTCGGGGGCACATGGAGCGCAAACCTTGAGGTGATGGACCATGGGGTGTTGGGAGTCCCCCTCGTTTTTTTCTATTTCTCTCTCATGTTCGCGCAGGCGGTCGTTGAGGCAGCGGCCCGTCTGTCCGATATACTCTGCCCCGCACGAGAAGGGCACGGAATACACCCGTCCGACCGCGCAGGGAACGAAAGGGGCCGCGTGCCTCTTGGCGCGGCCTCAACTGCCACCTGCGCGAACATAGGAGAGAAATAGAAAAAAAAACGACGAGGACTCCCAACCAGGGGCGGATGCAGGAATTTCCTGAGGGGGGGGTCAGGTGTTGGTCAGCGCACCACATGTTTAGGACCCCCCCCCTCCCTCTCCCTCGTTTCACGCCCTAAATTTTACACATGCAGAATTCAAGAGGGGGGTCAGGACATCCGGACCCCCCCTCTAAATCCGCCCCTGCTCCCAACACCCCATGGTCCATCACCTCAAGGTTTGCGCTCCATGTGCCCCCGAGTTCCCGTCCGCGCGTGTTTTGGGGGCCATCAAGAACCGCTACGGGCGCGAGATCGTGGAGGCGTACGCCATAAAAGAGGCGCCGAAGAACATTTCCATTGACTTAAAACGAAAGAAACACACAAGAGGACGAAACAGACGACACAGCTTTCGACTTGCAGCTACAGATTTACTGGGGCGGCTAGCCGCTCAGAGCTCGACTTGGGGAGGCGATGGGGAAAGAGGGGAGGGCGATGAGGGGAGGTGTAAGAACACAGGGAGACCGTTGCGGGGGCGAACACAGCGGGCTGTCGAGGGAGGTGACATTCCTTAGACCGGAGTTGACGTCCTTGACGGGCCGGGCGAGTGGTCCCTGCTCCTGAGAGGGAAATTGGGATGCCTCCTTCCTTCCTCTCCTTCCCGCTGTCTCTGCGCTTTACTTTCCCGCAGTTTCCTCCCGGGGCCTTGTCTTGCCCCCTCTTTCCCTTCTCCCTCCTTTTAACTTTCCCTCTCCTGTAGTGGAGCTCCGAAGGAGAAGCGTCCGGCAATAAATCATTTGTTTGTTGAAAGTTGAAAGATATGTTGTCCCGTCCCCTGTCTTTACGTATATAACTCTTTCTGAAACCTATATCATTACCAACGCGCTCACTAACAAGTTTACTACTCGACAGCTCTCAAAATTGAGGATACGTAAACGGCGTAAACAGGCAACGTCCAGAAAGTAATGGCGGCACCTTGCACCGCATAGAGCGCCGAGCTCATGGTCGAGCTGCTTTGCCGGCTTTGCCACACTCCGCCATTGATCTCTATATTGCTCTCCGCCACCCCGCCAAAGTTGAGTGGAGTGTCGGAGACCTCTTTTCAACAGAATGAAAAAACATTTCAAGGGCACAGCAATGCACAATTTTGAAGGGCTGTTCTCATGTTAGCCATCAAACGCATGTGAAATTATTAGGAACGAAACTATACATATGCATCTACGTATCCTTCGATTCATCTACCCAAAGCCGTATGCAGCCAACGCCACTGATCTCAATGGCCAACGCAGGCGCGTACGCGCGTACTTTCGGAACGGATACGTCTTTGGCTTTGCTTGGTTTCGTCCACAATTGTCATAGAGATCAGTGTCGTCCACGTACTATGAGAAGCGGCAACTCTTCAGATAGCGGCCATTTTACACCTCCGGCCCCCTCCAAAAAGAAAAAAAGTATATACAAGCTCGTTGAATACAGCATGGGAATGTACCTACATCGTTGGAAAGTACTAAGGGTAATCATTTTGCTTTCTGGAAAAAAATGTGTTTTACACCTGGCCGCTGGAAATTGGAATAAAAAAAAAAAATGCTGCAAGCAAAAAACGCAACTAATTTCTACGTGTGTTTCTTAGTATATTATTTATGATGTTATGTTATGTATTAAGACCAATGAGAAATACACAAAGGTCTTTTTTTTACTTTCTTTTTAGTATCTACTGGTTGTTTGGTGATCTACTGATATGTATGGGGCCCATCTACTGACTTCGATTTTTTTTTCCATCTGGTAACGCTGGTCCAGCATTTGCTGGCACTGCTCGCAGCGCGTGGAGGGCTGTCACGGCTTCACTTTACGTTGGCTGCGCTCATGTGGAGTGGCCGCGTGGGCACCTGCTTCGGTTCCCCGTCCTGACCACGTTGTCCCCACTCACGTGGTGTGGCCGTGTGGACACTTGCTTCGGTTTCCCGTCCTGACTAACGAAACAGCCACTGCAGAGCATCACATCCGAGCGACGTCGTACGCATCCAAAGGTATATATGACCCAGGACGCGTTGATTTCGGTCTCTGCCTGCTCCTGTCAATTTGACGCACGCTGCGTTCCGCGTTATCTTCCACCCGCCACAAAATCTCGCCGTGGAAGAAGCGCCGGGGAGAGAGAAAGTCAGCTTTTTCCTCAGAGCAGAGCCACCGAAAATTGGCAGCCTTGGCGGAGCGGGCGAATGAACATGCTGGTGGGAAAGAAATCGGGATGCCGCCTTTCCTTCCGTTCTTTCCCGCTATTTCGGCAAGTTTCGTTTTCGCACCGTTCCCTTCACGCGGCTTTCTCTGGAGCCACTCTCTATAGCACTGATGTGATTGCTGCCCCAAACTGCGCCAAGGGGCTAACCCCGCTACGTCCTGCTACGGTAGCCTGCGCCAAAGGACGAATATTGGTCGCCTTTGAAAACCGAAACTAAACCGGGTACCGTAATTGAGCACACATGAGCTAGGTGGTTCAAGCAGCCGTCCGACACAGTACCCTGCATCAATCGTTCATCTGGTCTTGCATGGTTTTTCCTGCCGTCTCTAGTCTCGCGTCTTTTAAAAAAAATTTAATCATAGACATGGGCATGTGCGGACGCTACGACGCTAGCGTGCTGGTTACCAGCCATGCCGTCATGCTGTGAAACGAAACCATGTTTTTGCGCGGCGGGAGTGATTTTATGGGCTGAAGCACTCGCTCCTAAAAGCAACGGCCGTGGCCAACCATATTTGGTCCCTGCCTTCCAGTCACTGTGGTCGCACGACATCGGGTGTTGCCGTCCCCACGTCACTGCAGTAATGGCACTTTCTGAACTGAAACGTAAGGACAATCCTGTTCTTGTTTAATGCGCTACTACAAACATACCTTAAGCTCAAAGACTGCAGTGTCGAAGTATTGATTACCTAGGTTAATCTCGGTAGGCTTTCTTTCGAGACGTACCCGGGTACGTGAAAAATGAGCCGCGAAAGGAAGTTGGTGAAGAGAAGTGAGCTAAAGCAAAGAACGCAATGTCCGCATGCTGAACCCGCACAGCGTGCTTATTTGTCTCGAGTTCAGTCGTTGCACAAACCGATCCAAGAACTTTTTGATCCTGGCTCGCGATGTCTTGCATCGATGCGCTCAGGTTTTTTTTTTTTTTTTTTCCTCTTTCTTTTTTTTTTTTCTTTCTTTCTTTCTGTGTTTAGCTTGTACCTCGTTTGCCGCCTTGGCAAGAACGTGCCGCTGGACTTTTTTTTTTTTTTTTCTCGTATGTTGGACAGTTACATTTTGCATACAATTTTGGGAATTAGTTGAGGCGGAGCGGAGTGGCATGGTTTCGATCGAACAGCCATCTCCGCTCGCGCGACAATTTTGCATTACAAGGCAGTAGTTACGTGCTTCATCAGTCGGAGATTGCTTCCATTTATTGTATTACTAATAAACCTAATAATGTGATATCTACTACTAAGCTGGTCATTTTCAAATAAATTTAAACATGTGGTCCGATATATTTGTATCACGTCCGGGTCACCAAATGTAGAAAAAGACAGACGAAAAGCGGCTACGTCTGACAAATTCCAAAATCGAGCTGATGTGGCACTTTTATTCCACGCGATCTTCTTTTTTCAATGGCTATCGCCACAAACTGAAGCATTACAAAATGTGTCATGTCATTGGCATTTCAGTTACATGTTGAAAGACTCCCAGGTGGTCTATGTTAACAATAATTGGTTGATTGCGGCGAGCAATGTGTCCTTCGTTTGTCCACTACTTGAAATGAATATATATTTTTCTCTACGGATATCTGCTCCAAAAGCCAGATTTGCTGTTCCACAACTCTGTTTTGGCTGCTCCAGAGGGTGCTCCAAAACGGCTTAGGCCAATCACATCACTGCAGTAAAGCGAGGTTACCCCTGCTCTAACTCGACAATACTTTGTGTGTTGAAAGTTGAAAATATGTGTTTTCTTGTACCCTGTCATCGTGTTTAGTGGCCGTGCTCTATGTTTTACAAATATTTCCAAATAAAAGTTATGCTTTGTCGTTTAGAGTCATGTTCGCAAGCGATGACTCAGTACGGCAAAAAGAAGCGAGTAACTTTATATATGATACTGACTAATGGCATATGATATAATTTATCTTCTCTAAACTTACTTCCAACTTAGTTTATCTTGACGCAGAAATTAATTTATTGCAATTACATACTTCACGCCACATTGTAATGTTTAATGTCGGAAGAGATTGTGCTCTTTATGTTTCCTCGGTCCTTTGAAATGAAAACATGGACAGAAAAGACACAAAGGAAAAGGATGGACAAGGCACGACTTTGTCCTTTCTGTCTCTTCTCGATTTTTATTTCTTCGATACCTGCATGTCAGTGCAACTGAAGGAAGAGTAAAGGCACAGGCAAGAAGGTAAATTGAAAACGTTGGTAAACTTTAAACACAAGAGGACAGAAATGAGACACGGAAAAGGACCACACACCCACCGTCTCGAAGAGTTCACAGCTGTGTTAGAGACTGCGTGTATTTTTTTTTTTTTTTTCGTTTGTGTGTGCATCTCCTTTTTCGGTGTTTCTCGGGTTTAGAAACGTTACATTGCACTTTGCCTCTTGTTGATTGCGTGTAGTGTGAGCATCAAACTTACGTAACGAAGGTCATATCAATGAAAAGAGGGCTTCTTTCTTTTCAGATGCCAGGTGTCCGATACTTCCGGTGCCCAAGGTGTGCGTCCCACATTTTTTCGTTGAGGGCACTATTCAGGCACTTTCACTCAGTTCATGGGTACGAAAGCAACTGGGTGTGCGGCCTAAGTGGCTGCATGCGGACATTTAAACTCTTCGCTTCCTATAAAAAACATGTGTACAGAAATCACCCTGGATCAGTCGAAAGAGAAAGAGCCGTGGGAGCGAATGAACTGGTGGATGCAGCACCGAGTGTTGGGGATGCCTTTCAAAGTGATGACGTTGGTGTACAGAGTAATCCGGACGCAGAAGAAAGGCAAGAGGAGCTGCGTACAGAGACTTCACAAGTGTGTGAATCCACCCAGGGTCCAAGCGGCTGTGTAAAGCAGCTGGCTCTCCTTCTTCTCAAGTGGAAAGAGGGAAGGCGACTTCCAGAATCAACCTTAGATGAAATCACAAATGATGTGATTTCTTTCGTAAAATCCATTTTGGAACATAAACAACTCCAGCTCAACAACGAGGTGGCCGCCAACGTGAGGGAGCTATTCTGTGTTGACGAACTGGACCGGCTACTGACGACAGCTGGCCGGAACGCGTTCTGGAGGACACATCTTCCACTTGTTGAGCCCCGTACAGTAGTGCTAGGAACCAACAGCAATGGAAAAGACGACACCATGGAGTATGTGCCGCTCTGTGATCTCCTCACGTGTATCCTTGAACATCCAACCTTATCGGGTGACTTTAATGCTTACACAAAGGTTGACAACCATATGTGTTCTGTGTTTGATGGCAGTGCATTTCGCGACCATGCCTACTTTGAAGGTGACCATCACAAAATCTGCCTGCAGTTATATACTGATGAATTTGAGGTGTGCAACCCTTTGGGCAGCAAAAGAGGAAAGCATAAGATGACCGCCGTGTATTTCTCAGTGCTGAATTTTCCTGCAAGGTTCCGCTCTGCGCTATCAGGAATGCACCTGGCACTTTTAGTGAATGACCACCATGTGGACTCCTATGGTCTGCCTAAGATTCTTGCACCTTTGCTTGAGGATGTGAGCAGATTAGAAACTGAAGGCATAGTTGCAAACGGAAAAGTGATGAGAGGGTCAGTCTTTGTTTTGACTGGGGATAATCTGTCGAGCCATAGAATGGGAGGCTTTAAACGTAGTTTCAACAAAGGTAGGATTTGCAGGTTCTGCATGGCCGTGCACTGTGAAATCAACTACAAGCACCTGGAGACCGATTTCGTGCTGCGCACACCGGAAGGTCACGAGCATCATATGAACATGTTGAAGGCTGGACTGCCAACTGCATCATTGTATGGGGTCACTGCAGCTTGTGCTCTTACATGCCAGGGGTTCAATGCCACACAGCATTTTCCGCCTGACGTTATGCACGACTTGCACGAGGGTGTTATACCATTTGCACTAAGACACATCATTTCTTCCTTAATATCACAAGGACTTTTTACTCTTGCACAGTTAAACAAGGAAATTAGTGAGTGGAATTATGACCCTTGTGATGCGCGAAATAAGCCAGAGCCTATTTCTAGTGAATTTCTTAAAGGAAAGGCAACCATGAAAGGATCAGCCACGCAGGTCTTTTGCCTATTTCGTCATCTAACCTTTTTCGTTGGCGAATGTGTTCCAACAGAACACGAAGTATGGCAACTTTACTTGCTTTTTCGCGAAATCATGGATATCATCATGAGCCGGAAAATCCCAGTCTCGCACATTGGCTACCTGCAAAGGAAGATTCATTTTTTTTGTCTCGACTTCAAGACATTGTTCCCATCTGTTAAAGTTCCTTGCAAAATGCACTACCTTATTCACTATCCGTCGTGCATGGAAAGGTTTGGACCATTAGTTGAACTTTGGGCGATGCGCTTCGAGGGAAAGCACCAATATTTCAAAGACATGGCTCGTAAAATCCGCAACTTTAAGAGTCTTTCGCACAGTCTAGCAGTGAGGCATCGGTTTTTGCAGTGTTTCTCTTTTGCAGCTGTTGGTGAGAAGAGCGTTCCCATCACAACAGGTTGTCGCCCCATACTTTGTGAACATCTTCCTGAATGCGTCAAGGAGTTTATCTCTCAGCATGATCTTGAAACTGTTGATTCATTCGTAGCGAACTCTGTGAGCATAGAAGGCAGGGTCTACAAAACAGGATGTGTTCTTGTCCAAAGTGTTCCTGACGATGCTCTGCCCGAATTTCTGCATATATGTCAAATTTTTTATGTTAACAAAGTGCTTTTATCTTTGGGGAATGTGCTTGAGACAGTCCGGTTCGACGAGCACTTTCACGTCTATGTTGTCCGTGCGACGCAAGAATTCAAAGTTGTAACATCACTTACAGACTGTACAACAGAACCATTATACATGCGGGAGCACAAAGGACAGACTGTTATAAGCGCACGTCACTCATTGCTATGAGATTTCATGGATCATTGAATGGTAGCCCACTCAGTTCTGGTGCTCTCTGCAGAAACTAGCTAAACAACGATGAGAGACAGTCGAAAAACAGGCAGTGAAAACAACTGTCACCTTTTCTCAGTTGACTCTTGCTGCGATAACTGGTTGGACAACACACACTGAGTAGAATTAGCTTTTTGATTGTTTAAAATGGTTGGACAAGACAGCTTATTTTTCTTGGTTTTTTTCTTTTGATAAATGTAAAAATAGAATGATGTCACTGTCGACAGTAAAGTCAAATGTCTCCTTTTTTCTCCTGGTTCTCCAGATTTTGTGTGATCTACACCAGGATACTGCATTAGCCCATATTTTAGGAAGTCTTATGTCTCGGACTGGTTTTTTATGGGTTCTGCTTCTTTATGTGTGTGAGTTCTTGTGCATGTCGTCATATTTTCAAATCAATATTTTTCATAGGTTGACATGGTAATGTGACAGGTTCTGGCAGCATGTCATGAATATTTGTCAAACATATTATATTTTGATTTCATGTTGTGTTGTCAGAAGTAAACTGGAGACTGATTTTCTTACTGCTACACTTCGATCAATAAATATTTGTAAAAAATGATAGCATTCAGAATTTCTCCCTGGTTTCCAATTTTTTGTGGATGGAGTAATTTTTAAGAAAATTGAATATGAACTCGTATAAAATTTTGTGAACACAAAAAATTGCACGCAGGAGAGGCACTTTATTATCAACTATCTGCATGAATTACAACTAACATTATAAAAAACGACTGCTAACAACCGATGTTTTTAAGCATAAATTTAACCTATACATTTATGGGGAGGTCCACATATAAGGTTTCAGAAATCCTTTCATATTATTATTTAGCACCCTCTTCTACACCCTTCTCACACCCTCCACTAAATGGTGGGTGTAACACGAAACAACACCCCTCTCGGTACAATAATGTGGGTGCAGTAGCTGATTTAAGGGTGCTAAAGGGGTGTAGTCAAGGGTGTAAATTGCCAAAACACCCCTTTTACACCCTTAAAGGTGTAAAAACTTTTAGTGTGTACAGGATGGGCTAAAAGCAAGTTACACATACCTGCGTCGTGCCTGTGACCGGGAAATGGCCCCGTCGAGTTCGCAGATAATTCCATTGGCGCACGTGATAGCCTGGTATTTGAGGGCTTGCAATCTCATGTGACCAGACAAGTAAATCTGATTCAGAGACGGTCGGCAGATGGGTCTTGCTGTGCCGCTCCAGCTGGTGGTACTCTACCTATTATTTGAACCGCAGGCCACAATAAAGTGTCGTTTCAGCGCAAATGTTTTGCGTTTTAATAATTTTTCACTGTTAAGAAGTTCGTTCATTGTCCAGAATGGCGCTGCATGCGAAAACGACGAGCGTGCCCCGTTGCGTCGTCACAAACCCTATTCTATAAGCACGCTGCGTAAGGTGTCGTTGCGTTGGGTACCCCAAAGCGTTGGGTTCCCCAAAGCGTTGGGCCCCCCTATTCTAAAACTCTCTATTAGAGAGTTTTAGAATAGGGGCCCCCAAAGCTTGGGGGCCCCAAAGAAATAGGGGCTCACCACTGCGCATGCGCAGAACCCAAAATCTGTTTGGGGCTTTGGGTTGGCGCTTGGGGTGGGGTTGCGTCGGCAAACATGGCGGCGCCCTTTCTGCTCGCTTCGGAGCAAATTCGTCATGGTCGCTGCAGTATTAGCCAATTTAAATGCCAGTGAATAGTGCTACCGGCTTTCGCTTTGCTTGATCTAGCTCAAATCACAAAGAATGAGCGGTGGGCTCGCCCCATTTCAAAGATCGTCCCCGATTTTGGCCGTTTCTAAGCCTAGACATACGCGGTAACCCTTGACATGGCAACGTATTGCTACTCGGTGGCACGATACCTGCATCTTGAAAACAAATATTTCAAGGCTTCAAAGTTGCTCCAGCTCAGATCTAAATAGTGCAACTGCCCGCAGAGTATGCGCGCTCGCGTTCGTCTCAGTCTCGGCGTAGTTGAAGGCGAAAATCTTTGGCTGCATATGGTCAAAGCGCACACCCAAAAATATCGAGAACGAGCCATACATAAAACTGCGCGCAAGCAAAGGAGGAAGAAAATAGAACACAGGAAAGAGCGCTGACTCCCAACTTATATATTATGAAAGAAAGAGAAAGAGGAAGCTTCAGACATGAAGCCCACGCGCACAAACAAGGTATAAAGAAGAAAGAATAAAAACATATAAATTACTAAGTTGCAGTAGAAAAGGAGAAAACTGACATTATAAGGTCACGAAGAAAAAAAAGATGAGAAAAAAGAAGAAAGAAAAACAACAACGTGGGCTTCATACACTGGCTTCATATCTGAAGCTTCCTCTTTCTCTTTCTTTCACAATACATAAGTTGGGAGTCAGCGCAATTTCCTGTGTTTTGTTATCTTCCTCCTGTACTTGTGCGCTGTTTTAGGTATGTCTTCTATGTACAAGCTAGCTCAACTCTCTATGTTACTACGAGAACAAGCGCCAAATTAGAGCGCTACGGATTGGATTGTTTCGGCTACACCCGAAATGGGATGGCCGAACAAGCCGAGGCCGATCCAAGGCCAAAAGAAAATGGAGGAAGAGAAGGCTCCCGTGCGCATTCGCTTCTCGATCGACGATGACATTTATGTGCTACGCGAAGTGTATGCCACTAACTCATTCCATTCCAGGAGATGGACTTGAATGGCCGAAAGGGTCCCCGAAGCAATCGGAAGAAATTTCCCCACGTGGGCCATCCGCGACCGGGTCGACCTGCTGCTGGCACAGCTTAACACGAAGCACAGATTTCCCGGTCACTTTTCGTAACTTAACGTGAAAAAAAAGAAAAAGAAAGAAACGGGTCTGTGTGAACGAGCCTTTAGCCGCGGAGTAGCAATACGTCACCATGTCAACAGTTACGACGTATGTTTAGGCTTAGGAACGGCCAGAATCAGGTACGATCTTTAAAATGGGGCGAGCCCACCTCTCATTCTTTGTGACTTGAGCGAGATTAAGCAAAGCGAAAGCCGGTTGCAGTATTCATTGGCAATGAAATTGGCTAATACTGCAGCGACCATGACGAATTTGCACCGAAGCGAGCGAAAAGGGCGCCGCCATGTTTGCCGATATACAACCCGGCCCCAAGCAATTGGGGGCCCCACGTTATTTCTCGAATTTCACGTTGGGGGCGCGAGCCAACCCAAAACCCCAAACGGAGTTTGGGTTCTACGCATGCGCAGTGCTGAGCCCCTATTTCTTTGGGGCCCCAAAGCTTTGGGACCCCCGATTATAGAACTCTCTATAACTGTCGTGCTGCTTCAGCTACAGGATGAGCTAACAGCAAGCTACACCTACCAGCGTCGTGCCTGTGACCGGGGAATGGCCCGTCCAGTTCTCAGATAATTCCATTGGCTCACATGATAGCCTGGTATTTGAGGGCGTGCACTCTCTTGTTGACCAGAGAAGTAAATCTTCTGATTCAGAGACGGTCGGCAGATGGGCCTTGCTGTGCCGTTCCAACTGGTGTTACCCTCCCTATTATTTGAACCGCAAGCCACAATAAAGTGTTGTTTCGGCGGAAATGTTTTGCGTTTTAATAATTTTTCACTGTTAAGAAGTTCGTTCGTTGTCCACAATGGCGCTGCATGCGAAAAAAGCGAGCGTGCCGCGTTGCGTCGTCACAAACCCTATTCTATAAGCACGCTGCGCGAGGTGTCGTTGCGTTGGGTACCCCAAAGCGTTGGGTTACCCAAAGCGTTGGGGCCCCCTATTCTAAAACTCTCTAATATAATGCTCTTGGGGGGATCGGTGGCCGAGTGGTCTAGCGCACACCAGCTCGGAGCACGTGGAGCGAAAGCTCGCGCTGCAGAAACCAGGGATCCTGGGTTCGAGCCCCACCCCTGCCCGTTTCGATCTGGATGAGCATCGTACCGGCGTGCGGTCGTGTATCACTACTGCGTGACGCACGTTAAAGACCCCAGGCTAGCGGTTTGTACCGCACTGGCTAAATTTCTCATCTACAGCTGGGAGACTCGTCGCCCCTGTGAGGCAGACCAAGTTCTAGGCTGTATAAACACACACACAACCCAATTAATTAATTATAATGCTCTTGCGGGGATCGGTGGCCGAGTGGTCTAGCGCACACCAGCTCGGAGCACGTGGAGCGAAAGCTCGCGCTGCAGAACTCAGGGATCCTGGGTTCGAGCCCCACCCCTGCCCGTTTCGATCTGGATGAGCATCGTACCGGCGTGCGGTCGTGCATCACTACTGCGTGATGCACGTTAAAGACCCAGGCTAGCGGCTGTACCGCACTGGCTAAATTTCTCATCTACAGCTGGGAGACTCGTCGCCCCTGTGAGGCAGACCAAGTTCTAGGCTGTATAAACACACACACAACCCAATTTTTATAATGCTCTTCTGGTCTCACTTGGAAGGTAACACAGAGTATCAGCACCTGCAAAGGGGTGGTATTGAAGAAAAATGTAGAACACGCAAGTCTTACAAAGCAAATTTAAAGTGCAGAGGATGAAGATTGTTATGTGGTGCACTCAGTACAGGATTCATTACAACACTATTGTCTACTTGACGATTCGAAGGCAAAGATATGGGCAGTAATTAAGATCTAGAATATTGTTTGGACATGGGTAAAATTTAAGGATGAAGACCCGAGACTAAAAAAATTGAAATAAAAAGGCGGAGAACGTAGAGAGCACCACTGGGATTTATTTGACACAACAGATTGATGTATGCAAAAAAAAAAAAGACTCATAGATGTTTGTAGAGGAAAACCTTGAAATAAAACACACACAAACTGCAAAAGAATCAGTCACACACAACCAAACACATGTTCCACGAGGAAAGTGTCAACACACCTAAATGAACCAACTTGCCAACATATGTAATAGCGAAAAAAGAAATCTGGAACTGTACAACACAACCATACAAGCAACAGGACACATAGATGCCTGGATAGGAAACCACAGAAATCAGATCTCCATTAAATTGTAAAAAATAATCAAACACACATTTCCCACAAGGAAAGTGGTAACATACGTAAACAAACCAACTTACTAAAACATGCCGTAGTGCAAAAATAAATCTGCGATTGCACAAGACACAGATACCAAAAAAAAAAAAAAAAAAAAAAAAACAGGACTCGTAGGTGCCTGCATACGAAAGCACAAACGTAGAACACACATGCAAAATCCAGAAGAATCAATCTCGCACAACCAAACACATTTATCCCTAGTCGCGTTGTTTGATACTGACACTTTAATTGATTTTCGTATAACCAATGTAATGACTAACGACATAGTATCCGGTGTAATGACACGATGCAACAATTTTCGTACTATGAGCAAATACCATTAAAAACGGATCCCTGACGTTAATGACCAATAAAACACGCGTTCGTTTTTCGCCTCACACAATTGAAGCCCCGAAAAAAATGAAAGGAAAACGAGCACCGTTCACCCCCTCGACTCGCAGCCAGGACAAGCGGCTACGTGATCTGGAGCCGATTAAAAAAAAAAAAAAAAGCAAATTGGGTTATGGGGATATTTATACAGCGTGTAGTTGGTCTGTCATTTAAAGTTGCGAT